TCTTTTGGCAGAAACGGAAAAGCCTAAAGAAACCCACAGGCGGGTCTTGATTCTTATGTAGTTCCCTCTCGGCTTCCCGGACATGGTGAGCGAGCTCTTCACTTTGCTTGCGGACTGCCTGGCTCATATCTTCACTGTACTTTTGAGCCTCTTTGATCTTCGCTTCTTGATGAACGACCAAGGCTTGTAGTTCATCGAGCTTTGCAAAGACTCGGTCTTTCTCTTGAAGTACTTGGTCGTACTGAGCTAGCCCGTCTTTTTCCTTAAGGCGTAGCTCAGAGAGACTTTTGGTGAGTCTCCTGTTGGCCTCTCGCTCTTGGCGGATGTCTAACCGAGCCTTAAGGAGCCCTTCCGACAACTCCTTGATCGTTTGTGCCTGCTTAGCTGATTCGGCCTCAAGGTGTGCTGTTTTGGCGTTTATTTCTTGCTGCTGGCTATCCGAACTGGTTTTAGCAATTTTGGATGCTCGGATAGCTTTTTCGTTAGCGTCAGCACATTGGTCCTTGAGGCGCTCTATTTCATGATCCTTTTTCTTGCCTTGCCTTTGTAGACCGTCAATCGTGAGGATAGATGCTTGCTCTTTTTCCTCAAGGGCCCGTATCTGGGATCCCATGATTTCTACCCTCTGGGTCAAGGCATTGACTTGTGCCTGCAGCTCTTCATTGTTGGCAATTGGCACGGGTGTGGTGGATGGTTGAGCCATCCCTCTTCTTCTTCTCCATGCCTCGTAGTCACTGGTGACAGTTACCCGAGCTTTTCCTAGCTCTCTGTCTCCCATGTAGACTGGCCTCTCCCATGCTTTTCTCATGGTTGATGAGTTGGTGATCGTGCACGGGTCTCCAAAGAAGCACAGTCCTCCGAGCTCCCTTCGGGAAATAGTAGTTTGGGTCCTCATGAGTTGCCTCATAGCTACTCTAGGTGAGTAGGCTATGCAACCCCTGAGTCCTATCAAGGGTATGTTCGGATAGTCCCCACATCTGATGAGAACGGGGCCAGGTCGGAACCAAGGGCAGACCCAAGATATATTGTTAGCGTCCTTTCGTTCTAACTCATCCCTCCATTCTATAGTCAGGCGTCGTTGGAGGGGGATTTTGGAGAAGCTTCTCAAAGGGTCGGGGAATATCCCCATGTGACTGGAGGCGTAAAGATGCGTGATGCTCCACACGTATAGTAATGAAGAGCAGCAGCGGAGTGTTCTTCCTTGCTTCTGATGGCAAAAATCCACCGAGAGGAAGGTGTCAGCAAGAATAGCAGGCAAGGGACTCTTCGAGTACACGTCCCAAGCGAAGAAGGCGTCCATGACGGCTTGATCTATTGTGTCGAGGTGGAAGGGGAACAGGATTGTTCCAAAAATTATGAGTGCCAGGCTTTTGTTGAAGGTAACCCATTCTGTCCTTTCAGCCAGGTAGGACAGGTGGTCTTCTAACATCGATACTTTCCATCCCTGGGTGTTCCCTCTTCCTATCAGGGTACTCTGTCGGAACGGTAGATGGATAAGGGCAGCGACTAATGCTGCAGGAGTCGTGGCGAATATGGACCCCGGCTGATTTAGGCCATTTCAACATAGCTTCATACTCCTCTAAGGTGGGTGTAGACCCCAAATCTTGCCCGGCCTAAGAATAAAGTCAGAAAACTTCCTATTTGAAGACGGCCGAAGCCAAACAAGCCACTAGGAGAGACTATTAGGCCCCCGTACTAAGATAGGAGGGCTTTTTGGCCCGAAAAATAAAGTTCTCGCGCCTGAAGGGACGAGACCGCTGTCTGGGAAGACCAGACCGCCGTCTCGCCTCACGCCAGGGACGAGACCGCCGTCTCGCTGGTCCAGACGGTGGTCTCGCCACTGCAAAGGTCGAGACGGCGGTCTGGGTTTTCCAGACGGCGGTCTCGACCCCCTGTATGGTCGAGACGACGGTCTGGATTGTCCAGACGGCGGTCTCGACCTTGTCAGACGAGACCGGTGGTCTCGCCACTGTCAGGCGCGAAAACCTATAAATAGGGGCTCCCTCCCCTCATTTCCACACACCAAGCACAGTAGCTCTCCCTTCTCTCTAGATTTTCTCTCTCTAAGAACCCCTCCGAAGCATTTCCGGAGTTTCTGAGTGTCTCTAGGCGTAAATTGAGCGTTCTAAATCTTCTTTAGAATCCCTCCGAGGCATTTCCGGAGTTTCTGAGAGTTGTAGAGTGAAGGGTTGCCAAAAAGCACCCACTCTTTAAAAGAGAAATACAAAAAGCTTGCTTTGGAGGTGCACCATCTCTCTTTCTAATTTTACCGCTTTCATTTAAAATTATGTAATAGACGCTAGGGCCATGTAGTCGTAATCTTTAAATACCGCATAATAAAAGGGTAAAAGCGCAATTTTCCAGTTTAATTATTTATCCAAAGTAGCCGGCCCATCATAGGGAACCCGAAAGGGGCGTCGTAAAGGAACTAACACTTCCTTTACACGTAACTAACTCCCTTACCCAACTCTGGTTCTAATGACCAAAGTTGGTTTTCGAAAACCAACGCCTTTTTAAAACTCCTTTTCCGATGTTTCCGGTAAAAACATCGGTGGCGACTCCACGAACCCTTCAAAACCCGTTCTTGGGTTAGCCCGGTTATCGGACAACCCAAGAACACTTTTCGAAAACCTCGTCTCTAGGTTAGCCCGGTTATCGGACAACCTAAGGACGTTGTACCCACCCATAAAAAATGCGAAAACCAAAGAGGGTCGAAAAAACCATCGCGTCGCTCCGACCGCCTCGTTTTGATGGCGGCGACAGGCCTCTCAATAATAAAGGCTAAAGAGACTTCCTACAACAAAAACAAAGCTCACCTGACATCTCTATAAAGGCCAAGAAGACTTCCTATATAAAGATAAAGCTTTAACGGGCGTTTATCGGCATCAAACAACGTCCGAATACACAAAGGAAAGCTTCCTGGGGGTCCCAGAACACGAAAGCTGGCCAAAACAGGTCGAGACGGCCGTCCCAAGGTCGAGACGGCCATCCCAACCTTCCCTGGCCAAGTGGGACGGCCATCCCAAGTGGGACTACCAGTCCCAGCTCCCCAGGTGGTCTCAGTATATGTAAATCATGCAGTTGGGATGGCCGTCCCAACCCAGACGCGCGTCCCAAGTGTGCATGCAGCGAAAACTATAAATAGGAAGCTCATTTGGCACTGTTTCACACACCAGACAACTCCTAGTACTTGTCTATCCTCTTCCCTCTTCGAATGAAATCTCTGATTGCCATGATAAGGTAACAATCAGTTAAGGAATCATATTCCAGCATTCGATTCTTCTGTAAAATTGAGTCGAGTCGATCTTGTATTTGGAGAGGAGAGTCTTTATAGAGTGAAGGATTGCCAAAACGCGTCCTTGCGATCAAAGATTTGCAATATAAAGCTTGCTACGGAGGTTCTGTTCAATTCTCTTCTCTTTTACTGCTTTATTTATTGCTTTCTGTATGCAATGTAAAATAAAGTGATGTAGATAGTCATTTTTTAACATTATGCAATAAAATAGGGTAATCGCGTAATTTCTCATAATCTTCACTTAAATGAATTAATCCGTCATAGGGAACCCGAAAGGGGCGTTGTGGGGTGCTAACACCTTCCCCACACGTAACTAACTCCCTTACCTAACTCTGGTTATAATGGCCAAGTTTGGTTTTTAATAAAATCAACGCCTTTTATCCTTTTCCAATGTTTATGGTCAAAACATTGGTGGCGACTCCAAGAGAACCCCTTTTCGAAAACCTTGCTTTTATTAGAGGATAGTTCAGTTGTTGAGCACCTCGGAAGCAATGAACATAATTTTAACAAAAAACGCGAGTCTAAACCATCTTTTCGCGACCGCTCGCATAAACGTTCGAGATGTCCCTGGACGTCAGAATGGACGGCGGCGACACCATACCATAAAAATTATCAACATTTCTTCTGAACATCACAAAAACAGTTTTCCTATGATCTAGTAGATTTATAGTAAAATCTTAAGGAGTATTAAGATAAAAAGGATATTTTTAAAGCCATGGTCTTGAGAGGTGACTACGAGTGATACCTAGGTCGCTAGGTCTCGAGAAATATAACAAGGTTCACATAGGGAATCAACAAGATGATACATTTTGGCAGAACCTAGAATACTACCAAATAAATTTAGTATTCAACTTAACAACAACTTTAAAGCAAAAACGCATTGTCTTGCTCCTTGACTGAAGCAACTATTGGGATGAAAAATGTATTTAAATCTAATCATTGATTTAAAAGATTTTATAGGTTTCCATACTCATGAAATTGATGGCATCCTAACTTATTTGGTGAAGAAAGAAAAGAAACAAACAAGAAAAAGTAAAATGAAGGAAACATACCTCCTTAGTGTTCATATCACATCACATCCCATACCATAAAAACTATCAACATTTATTCTGGACATGACAGAAACAGTTTTCCTATGATCTAGTAGATTGATGGTAAAATCTTAAGGAGTATTAAGATAAAAAGTATATTTTCAAAGCCATGGTCTTGAGAGGTGACTACGAGTGATACCTAGGTCGCTAGGTCTGAGAAATATAACAAGGTTCACATAGGGAATCAAGAAACTGATACATTTTGGCAAAACCCATAATACTACCAAATAAATTTAGAATTCAACTTAACAACAACTTTAAAGCAAAAAACACATTGCCTTGCTCCTCACGGCAGAGTAACCTTGAAAGGAATTGAGAAAATTCTTCTACTTCATTGAAATAATTACACATTAAACATCATACCAGACAGGGTTACAATATAAAGATATATAAGTCAAATAACTTTAATAAGAATCAAAGTATATTACAGAGAAGGTAAAAGCAGGGATGAATTAAAGTTTTATTTGCCTGTAACATCCAAATAATCACATTTAAGAAATAAAATTGAATATCCCAACCAGCTGAGCCATAATCAACTACAGTAACATATGAAAAACAACATTTAAATTTGTCATTGATCCAATGTCAGAAAGCATCCAACCACACAAGCAATAATGCATGACAGTGTCAGCCCCAAACCCGATAATCCACAGATCCCGTAAAAAGTCAATTTATATCCAAGAACCGATCATAAATCAAGCAAACCAAATGAAACATTTCAGACAACTCAAATCAAGAACAATAAACAAAAAATCAAAAAAAGAAAGGAAAACTTAGGCCTGCAACCCTTGCTTCTAACCACCAATCTCCAAGTTGACCTGCAATGGCTAGGGGGGGCACAAGTCACAGTTAGGGCTCCGCGGTTGGGTTAGGGTGATAACGTCTAGGGCTTCGCTGGGATGCAGAGTCCGCAGAGGAGGTGAGGGAAAAGGTGTTAGCGCGAGCTAGGGCTGTGGAGTTCAAGTGAAGGGTTGAGGAATATTGAAAATGGAGCTCAGTCAGGGGTCTCGGGAAAGAGGGGTGCCTGGTGGCCGAGTTGTTGAGAGGATCCGAGAAAAGAGTGAGGCGAGAGGGAAGAGGGAATGAGGGAAAAGGGAAAGTGAAGGTGCAGGGAGAGTGGGGCTGCTCCGTGGGGAAGAAGCTGCAAGGAAGAAGAGCAAGGCAGAGGGAGCTAGGGCTGGAAAGTGGAGGTCTGGCTGAAAATATTTTTTTCCTTATGTTTTTACTACTAATTACTTACTAATTTTATTTTTTAATATTTTCTAATAAAATCCGTATGTAAAATCCGTCTGTAAAGTATGATTCATTACATACGGATTTTATTGTCATTACCTACGGATTTCATCCTTCGAACGTTCCCGTCTAAACATGCCAACATTACATACAGATAATACCTAGGACTACTGTAACGTACAATTTTATATACGGATAAAAATCCATAGATAAAATCCATAGGTAATTTATAATTTATCTACGGATATGGATCCGTAGCTAAATATCAGCAGGTAATTGGTAATTTTCTTGTAGTCTGTCCTTCAAGATCTTCATCGTATCGCGGTTGACCGGGTGTCAAAGTTCTTTTTCATTCATGTTTGTGAGGATAGGAGTTCTTCTTGAGCAATCGCTTAACGCAAATGGTCCTTCATATTTTCCCGCCTACTTTCCTATTTTATCTTTTTTTTGGGCCTACAACAATTTCTTTACCTTTACATCCCCTCATGGTAAATATAGGGGTTGACCTTTTTGTCATAAGCCCTTTTGATCCTCTTTCGGTAGGCTTGTCTATGACATATGTCGTCCAACTGTTTTTCTTTGATTAAATTAAATTGATTGTATTGGTTTTGGACCCATTTAGCTTCTGTCAATTTTGCTTCCATGGTAACTTGTCAAGGAAGGTATCTCGACCTCTATTGGGAGTACGACCTCCATGCCATGTACAAGGGGAATGGAGTAGCTCCTGTGGAGGTCTGTACAGAAATTTGATATCTATGATGGGAAGATAGTAACATTTCATGCCAATGCTTGAAGGTTTTGATCATCTTCTAGATGATCTTATTGATGTTCTTATAGGCTGCCTCTACTACACCATTCATTTTAGGTTGGTAGGGAGAGGAGTTATGATGTTGAATTTTGAAGTCTTGGCATGTCCTGGTCGAACCATGCGCATGCATCCATATGCTCCCTTAATAGTTGTACTAACTCTTCCCCGATGTTAATCATTTATTTGGGTATCGATATTCATTTCTTGCTTATCATTTCTTGCCCCTCAAATCAATGGCCTTGGTTTCTTTCCAAGTAGGGCCAAATAGATCGAGCTTCTTTTTCTAACAACCTATGCATATTCAGGGAAATGGTCCCCTTCTCATTGTCCGACTCGATCCATTCGCCTTCGACTTTGAGATTCTGTAGAGAGTCATCGATCACAAACATGATTGTTTTTATTTTAGGTTTTGTTTAGGCTTAGATTTTATTATCATTTATTTTGAAATAATAATGAGGGAGAAAAGAATGAAAAAGAATATGAATGTTATGAGAATGCCTCATTGTATTGATAAAAAAGAAATATTTACAAAGCCCTTTTAATCAAAGATCTCGCGGTCATGGGCGGGGACCGTAAGAGGTATGCAGGAAGCTTAAAAACATAATACTACTATGAGGAACCCTAATCAGTTGGCCTTCTTTATCCGACCCCATTATGCAAGTTGTGATAGAGGCTTGATGTCCATATCAAGAGCGGGAGCGTCAAAAGTGATCCACCCTGCATCCAACAATTCTTGAACCTTATACTTCAAGGCCAAGCAGTTTTCCACCAAATGCCCAGGAGCACCCGAGTGGTAATCACAATTCTCATTTGGCCTATACCAACTCAAGTAGGGTGGATTTATCTTTTTTGGAGGGATGTATGTTAGGAGCATGTCCTTTATCAACCAGCATACTCTCGTAGGAGTTTGGAATAGGAGTAAATTTCCCCTCTTGTTTGCATGGCTGCCTGACTGGTTACGAAGAGGAAGAAGGAGTAGCAAGGTTGATGGTGTTCTTGCTTCCCTCCTTCTTATTGGACTTTTTGAATGGTGGAGGAATGTTGCACAATCCTTCCATTTTTTTCGCTGAAACTTGGGAAGGAACTGAGTACTTTTGTCAAGGCACATGTCGGTCGCCTCCTTGTGTCCCTCTATAGTCCTTAATCTTTCCTCTAGGGCAGCAATTCGTTGTTTGGGTACCTCATTGTGGAGGTGTTGTTGACGCATTAGCTCCATAAATTGCGCCATTTGCTCCTTCATGGAATTAAGATCATCGATGAGCTTACTGGTTTCATTCCTCCAATTGCTCCATCCTCTTAACTTTTTGCGCGCGAGATGAGGACAGGAAGAAGACTCGACCACTTTTCAAAAATGCGAAAGAAACTTAAGGATGTTTATTATTTTGAAATGAATGATTTATTATGGGATGGATAGGCCTTAAGACAATGGCTTAGGTATCTCCTTAAAGCTTGCGCTCCTACGGAGTGCCCTACCCACTTTGGTATAATGGTTCCTTCTCCATCACAAATATAATGAAGGTCACCATCACACCTTAGCACACTTGTCCCTTCCTTGTTGCGGATTGACAAGTATGATGAAGGTCACAAATGCACTTGGGTCTCTTTTGCCCTTGTCTTAAGGATATCTAGTGTTCCCTAGCATGAATGTGTTTTATGCATGAGAGATTTTATTTAGGATGATGCTTATGCATACTTTCCTAGATGTATTTTCTCTCTTATTTTACCACTCTTGAAATGATTAGGGTATGAATGGTTTGACTTTGTCAAAATCTTTTTGTTGTAAAAATTATTTTTATTATTTATTTATTATTATTATTATTATTATTATTATTATTATTTTATAACACTTTATTTCTTTTGTTGGTCAACGTGGGTACTTAGCTTACAAAGAACCTAAAACCAGGCTAGCTAAAATAAACACCGTCCGAGATAAAGTTAGTTGCTTTTGTTTTCTTTTATTGTTTTAAGAAATTTTTTTTTGTTATATATATATATATATATATATATATATATATATTGTAACCCTTTATCTCTTCTCGTTGGTCGACGTGACTACTTAGCTTACAAAGAACATTTAATTAGGCTAGCAAAAATGTAGATTGTCCGAGATAAAAGGTGATTATGTTTTCGCATATTTTGATTTTTTGTTGTTTTTGATGTTGTATGCTCACTCTATGCTAATGCAAGCAAACAAATGCAACATCCATATGCACAAACAATTCACTCATCCGTGAAGAGAGTGACGACGTTTCATTACGAGGTAGGGGTATCCTACAGAAAAGTGCATTTTCAAGATGGTTCTAATTATTCTTACCAAGGTCAGGCCCCCAAGGTGCCCCCATTATAGGGTCCCCACTCTCCAACCTTCCAACCATGCTTAGCACTAAGGCCATAGTCAGTCTTTGTGCCAAAAGAGGAAGGTTATCACCTTGAGTGGTGGTTTCCGATCATACCGATGGACACATGGCCCTCACTAGGCAAACTGTACCTGCCACCCACTCCCTATGGATTTCTCACTTGCCCCCGGGTTTAAAGGAAACTGTCGTGTGCAAAGGTTTGTGTGCAGTTTGTATTTCAAACAATTGCATAAAATAAACAAACAACAGTTATTAAAGCCAAGCAAATAAACATGTTATAATACAAGGTAGGGTAAAATCGAAATTTCTAAGTTTGTTTATTAAACCAGCCCATCACTAAATGGGATAAACTCTCTAGGCTTCCCTAGTGGAGTCGCCAGCTGTCGCAGCCGTCAAAAGAGGCGGTTGGAGCGACGTGATGGTTCTCACTTCCGTTTTTCGCGTTTTAATATGGGTGAGGTTACAACGCCTCTAGGTTGTCTGATAACCGGGCTGAACCTAAGGGTGAGGTTTTAAAAAGAGAGCTTTTAGATCATCCGATAACTGGGCTGACCTAAGAGCAAGATTTAGAGGGTTCTTATGGAGTCGCCACCGATTTTTTTACCAGAAACATCGAAAAAGGAAAGATAAAGGCGTTGGTTTTTTAAGAAAAAACAACTTTGGTCGTTAAAACCAGAGATTGGGTAAGGGAGTTAGTTACTGTAGACCCCTAATTTTGCCCGGCCTCTCAAATAAAGATAAAGGAGATTACCCGTAACAAGATAAAGCTCGTCTAGCATTACAAATAAGAGCCAAGGAGACTTCCCATATGAAGATAAAGCTTCAATAGACACATATCGGCATCAACTGACGTCCAAAACAGGCAAGGAAAGCTTCCCGGAGTCCCGAAACGCGCGAAACTGGCCAGAACAGGTTGGGACGGCCGTCCCAAACCCATTTTAAGTGGGATGGCCTTTTATTATTTTATTTATTGTTTTATTGTTTTATTTAGCTTTATTATGTCATGTAGAATAGGATCATGTAGATAGCTATTTTAATATCTCTTTTATTGCTTTATTTAGCTTTATTCATCATTTTATACATGCAACATAGAATAAAATCATGTAGATAGCCATTTAATATTATGTAATAAAATAGGGTAATCGCGTAATTTCTCGTAGTCTTTATTTAAATGAATTAATCTGTCATAGGGAACCCGAAAGGGGCGTTGTGGGGTGCTAACACCTTCCCCACACGTAGCTAACTCCCTTACCCAACTCTAGTTATAATGGCCAAGTGCGTTTTTTCTTAAAATCAACATTTTTTCCTTTTCCAATGTTTATGGTCAAAACATTGGTGGCGACTCCATAAGAACCCCTTTTCGAAAACCTTTTAAAACAAAAACGCGAGTCTAAACCATCTTTTCGCGACCGCTCGCATAAACGTTTCTAGACTTCCCCCCGGACGTCGGAACGGGACGGCGGCGACAGATGGCGACTCCGCTGGGGAAGCTAGAGAGTTGATCCCATTTAGTGACAGATAAATTCAAACTAAGTAAAAATTTGAAATTACGCCTTTGCCCTTCTGTATGTTTTTACTGTATGGCTTTAATAACTGCTGTATGATTATCTCTGCAATTGTTTGAAATATAAATTGCACACAAAAACCCTTGCACACAACAGTCCCTCTATACCCGGGGCAAGAGTGAATATCTATAGGGAGTGGGTGGCGGATACGATCGGTTAGTTGGCACACGGGCTACTCGTCGTTGTCGGAAAACCACCAACTCAAGGTGATAACTCTCTTCTTTTGG